ATTGAAGAAATATGAGGGTTCCAAGTCTAAAAAACAGCCTAATAGCTCCCTAAAGGATCCTGGCGCCACTCCTAGGTGCAGACAACGACGATGAAATCCACCTGCTATCCGAACACTATCCTCCATATAAAATAATAGTTCGAGGGACAAGAATATCCCCCTGGACGTTAGATAGTATAAAAGTGGCGGTTTCAGTACAAATTCCGTTAATAATGCACAAAACAATTCCAAAAAGGACAAACACGACACTAGAATACACTACAATTCTGTCCTACTACGTGTATGCCCCAGCCAAAAATGTACACTACAGTTTTTAATAATGAAGTGAATGTACATAAATACCAGAATACTGGATCTCGATTGGTTTAACTGGTTTTTTTAGATGGAAAATCAAGTTAGACCAATCGTATTTCTTATGTATGGTAGATTTCACTGGTGTTGTCTGTAGTGTACATTTTTGGCTGGAGCAGACACGTAGAAGGACAGGAATGTACCGCTGGAGGTTGCAAAAGCTGATACACGCGGTTGAAACAGACGGAGTGCGTAATCGATATAGTTTTAATTAGTTTCGTTGAACTCCTGAGCATGAACATATCTCGATGGACAGGTCTTCTGAAGCTTTTACATATGGAGGCCCTAAACACGAGTGAGAAAGCTTTGCTCTCAGTTTGTGACCAAGCGCAGGATTTCCTATATAAACCGTTTAGTCATCCACATCTTTTGCAGGGATTGGAATTTGAGAGATACAACTCTTCGTCTAAAATTCGAGTGGCGACGACATATTATAAAGCTTTTTTTTTGTTGGAAAACAACAGGCGCGTTTATAATCATTTTAATTGTGGTGTGTACAGACAACGATATATTTATTCGACACCTCTGAATACCATCCCGTCCATATCACAAAGTCCCGTGACATAAAACATACGAAAATACTCATAAACCACACGTAATTTCAGAGAAAGCACGAAACACATACGGAATACAAGACCAAGTCTGATGGTAGATTCTTATTGGCTGTTCACTTGATATTGTAACTTGCTCGGCTTTGTCCGTCGGATTTATGTGTCTGTCGAATAAATGTGTCGTTGTCTGTATAGCACAGGTACCATATACCGCATCGTTGAATTCATAAAGCGTGCATGATCCGCAAAGGGATTGTGGATTTAAATATGTGGTTAGCTATGGTTTGTAGTGTGATTACTGAAAAACTGGCTGTGAGTAAGTGCGTTTTATGACGTATGTGCGAATAATGAATTCAACGAAGCGTTAAATACCAGTAGTGCTTTTCCCAGCGTAAGTCGTAAACGACCTAGTTTCGCTCTGCTCGGTCGGGCTTGAGGTGTCAAAGAATCTACTTCAGCATCTAGGTGTTTATTCCGCGGTGCAAGATTGCCTTCTACCATCGACTGCAACCTGCTGTGGCCATCCCAACACTTTCTATCGACCCAGCATGGCGATGTAGTGACACCATGTCACTGACTGACTACATAGATGTCAGCCGTACGGGCCTCACAGGCATTCGATTTCGTTCATGGAGACACGACAAAACCTCCATTTACCGATGGGAACGGCCTGCTGGCGCTCTCGTGGTGTCAGTTCTCGTCTTGTGCGCTAGTTAGTCTCAATGGCGGTCAAGTGCATAGTTTCAGAATATTCCAGATATGAGCTAGGATGGGCGACGTCTGTGCCTGTTTGCCACTATTTTGGCTCGAAATGTACTCAAGTTGCCACCACGGATGTTGGTAGCTGAAGTTTTGCACACCATTGAAATCGCACCGACTCCAGGTTGCATTTATGGCCAATCCGAGGTCATTTCGTATAATGTTGACGATTCCGGAGCCAGTTTCGCAAAAAGGGACAAGTAATTTGCAACAGATTAGTAATACTTAGGGTTTTGCACAGAAGAGCCGTCGACACTAACTAGCAGAAACCAAGGGGTAGTCCAGAAAAGCTTGATATTTTTAGGGGTCTACTAGAAAAGTTTTCCGAGTCAAAATATCGTGGGAAGGGGCAGTCTACGATTATGTATAAGCACTTTAGTGCTGGCTAGCCAGATTATTGCGCATGTGTCGGTACTGGCACTATTTTTTTTTTTTTTTTTTAGCGGTTTCATATCTGTCGTGTCCGTCCGACAAACCGGTTTCTTACCGGGGCAAATATGCCACTCCGAAAGTTTAATTTGTATGCGTCTTATACGTCGCTTAAAATACCGGCTGTACCGTTGACCAAAGTATTTCTAGTTTCACCCAGATTCCTAATCCGTATTTCTTTTAGATCAAAATTCTCGTCAGGTGCAGGATTGGTTAGTTTTATAAGTCAGACGTACAAGCAAATGCTCTGATGGTGCAGCTAAAGACAATGGATAGAGCATTTTTTGCAGATTGAATTTCTTTGAGTGTCCTAAGACAGGGTCTTTATGTTGTGCTTTGCACGGCTTTATGGGAAGGTTATCGCAAGCACAGCCTCCCTGTAGCCAGATATAGGCGCCCGCTACTAATAATTGGGTAAGGTAATTATTTATTTCCTTTCGTATATCAACCTTTGCGAAGCCTTGGTTATCGGCTCCAAATATAGATTTACTGTCGAGTTAGTTCAAAACGTCAGAAGCAACTAGTTGGGGTATTATAGTAAAAATAAAACAAATGACTAGTTAAATTTCAGAATGGCCAGTTGAAAATATACCGTATTCCCTATTGGCTTGCCGACAGGCATTTGCATGATTTGTATTGGCCAGCCTTCAGGTAATCAGAAGTGATTTTCATTGAATATAACTTTACGATGAAGAATTTGCAACAAATTCTATTCAAAAATTTAATGAGGATTTTAGTTGGATCAGTCTCTAAGTCAATTAAGCAATATCTAGACAGCTTTTAAGGCTTCGATACTTCCTTATACCGAATAAAGGTGTATGCTACTCTTTTTTCCGAACATTTGTTGTTCACTAGGGCTCTAGTCTCTTGCGGCCTGTTGTTGCCATTGTGACATAACAATAAAAAAATGTTGATAATAAGAAATTGCACGTTGTCTACAAGAATATAAAGTTCGACAGTACGAACAAGGCTGTGCTCTGATTAGTAACTCGCTACCGTCAGTAAACGGTTCCGTCGCCAAGCACATCAGGAGTACGGTATTTCCAAAATCTTCTCATGACCAAGCTTAAATTGTATTCCTTTACTAGAAAGTTGTCCAGAATGACCTCGTCATGACTTTTTCGCACTGTCAGAGGGTAGCTTCAGACTCTCTCTTTGCAGCTGAGGCTACTTTCCCGGGCTTCTATACGACGCGAGGACTTGAGAGCTGAACCACCTTTTACTTGTTACTTTTTTTCAAAGCATTTTTGATCGCCAGGGCCTTCTTGGTCTTCTTGGCCTTCTTAAGCAGTTCTTTCATGTTCGGAGAGTCCGGTCTTGGGATGATTTTGTTGACACTTTTGGCTGCTGATTTGAAAATCCCACCGTACCCGTTCCCCGTGCTCTGGACAACTTCTTGGCCAGCGACTCGAAGGGATCTCTTGGCCTTGGCCGCAGAGTCATGAGATATCTGCGACAAAAGCCCAGACTCGTTGGGATGAGGGAACGCTGTGGCGGTGCTGCTGCGGGCCAAAACAGCAAAGACAAGAGCGATGTAGAATAGACTGCGCATGGATGTCTAGAGAGGGGTGTCCAATGGAAGGAAGGGCCTTGTGGTCTTGAAAGAAAAACGTGAAATGACTGCTGGATGGCGTGGCTTTACAGTACCAGAGGACGAGCGTGTCGCTCTGAGGGGTGCGCGCAAATTCTCGCTCTGTCTGATTCAAATGTAAACATTAACAGCTGTGAGTAGTTTTCTGGTGAGTAGTTTACAGTTTTTTTGTTTACAAACGTAAACAAAAAATTGTAAACAGTAGCAAAAAAAAAAGAGCAGCTATCAGATAGCGCAAGATGCGATACTTTTGTCGTCCGATCACCATCAAAAATGCTGCTCAAATTGACATAAGCACTCATAACCTCTCCCCGGCGTCTTTAAGTTTCACCCCCGCCATAACTTCTCTATGTATTTCGGCAGCTCATCACACTGATGGCCCGAAGTCTACAACTTCAACGCTGCGTCTCTGCGACGTCTGCCTTCCTTCAGCCGATGAAGACGGTATCAATGACGAGCGAAGTATGTGCGTCTCAAAGCCACTCATGACATATTATAAATCTTAATATCTTAATAATAAACAAAACTATGATTTTTTTTTCCTATAGTGGTGCCAATGTCAGAATAGAGTGCCAAAGAGAACATGTTTACGGGAATTTGACTCATAATCATCCACCTCTGGATGTGGATGATTATGAATCAAATTTCCGTAAACATGTTCTCTTCTACTTTCCTCGCCAAAAGGAAACATCTCGCGTGCGCTGCAAAGGCGATTTGCATTCGTCTCCACAAGATGATACATGTGCTGCTGACCCAAACGGGAACGTCGTCACGGCGTTAGCGGCATTAACCTCCGTGATGCAACTCCTCCACGATCGTAACACTACAGAGCACATTGCTACTACAGGAGGACGGCCAGCTAGCAGCCAAGCTGGACGACGTCATGTACCTAATTGACGGTCTTCTGAAGCCTGTTAGGACACCTAGAGCGCGTCTGGCGCAGACTCGCAGCGTCCTGGAGCTGGTGC